GGATCAAACGCAGGACCTTGTGCTTGCGCAGCAGGCACTGAAACCATTGAGCTAAATCCCCGGCCCAAAAATAGTCTTTTAACAAGTGATGCTGGGACACCTGGGTATCCACATGGAAAGAATGAAGGTAGACCTCTTCTCTCACACCATAACTCAAAGTTAACTCAAAATCCACCAAAGACTGAAACTTAGGAGCTAAAACTATAAAAATGATAGAATAAAACACAGGAGTAAATATTTCGGACCTTAGATTTGGCAATGGATTCTTGGAAAGACATCAAAAGTATAAGCAACAAGCTCCGGGATGGTGGCATGCGCCTGTAATCCCAGCACTTGGAGGCTGAGGAAAGAGGATCACTGTGAGTTTATGGCCAGCATGAGATACATAGTGAGTTCAAGGCCAGGCTGGACCACATAGAGAAGCCCTGTCTCACTTCCCCACACACAAAAAAAGCAAAACAGAAAGTAAAAGAACAAAGATGATCTCACACTTCCCAATCTTAGAATGTACTACAAAGTATGCTAATGAGAGCACTGTGGTGCTGGCATAAGGACACACAGAACATGGAGCAGAACTGAGTGTCCAGGAACAAACTCCACATCTATAGCCAACTGATTTCCACGAGGTGTCAAGACTCCAAAGGGTAAACAATGGTCTCTTCAACAACTCAGTATTAACATGCGAAAGAATGACATTGGACCCCTACCTTTTCATCATACAGAACTCAAATAGAACAATAATCTAAATGGCCTGTGATCCCAGTACTCAGGAGGCTGAGGCAGGAAGATTGCCACAAGTCCAAGGCCAGCCTGGGCTATATAGTGAGTTCGAGGCTAGCCTGCACTACAAAGTGAAACCCTGTCTCAAAAACAAACATCCTGAGTTCAATCCCCGTACCCCCCCCAAAAAAACCAAACGGTAACCTAATTGTAAGTGTGAAAGCCATAAAAATTTGGGAAGAAAGGATTGGATTTGAAAATGTGTTGTTGGAAATGACACCTGCAATCAGGAGGCTGAGGTAGGACAGTCACTATGAGTTCCAGGCCAGTCTGAACTACACAGTGAAACCCTGCACCCCCCCAAAATATATAAATACATATATGTATATGTTTATATGTATGCATGTGGGCAAAGTACTTGAAAAGAAATAGCTAAAAAGACCCACAACTATACAAACAGCCAAGGAACACAGGAGAAGATAATCAGCATCTATAGCTACTAGGGAGATGCAAGCTGAAATCACCCACTGAATCAAAAGGGAACCAAGGACTACCAGGAAGACGGTGGAGTGGACAGCCAAGAAACAGCCTCTCTGAGACTTGGTGTCCAGACGCTGGAATATAGCAATGTGAGGCAGAGAAGGAAGTGGGTCCCTGGAACCCAGCAAGGATCTGAAGCCCACTGGGAGAGTGAGGAGAGAAACTTCAGTGAAGAAGGAGGAGGTAGCAAGCAGCACTTTCTCCCCTGAGCCCAACCCACTGTGTTGGAAGGGCAGCTAAAACCTGCAGACACGGTGACTACTGGCAACTCCAGAGGCCCCCACAGAGAAACGCATCAGTGGAATGGAGCAGTGGGTGCAGTGGGCTGCAGTGGCTAGTGACTTATGTGGATTCAGATGTCCCCCAGGAGGGGCGATTAGCTGGTAGCCATCTTGGAGAGGGCCGAACTGAGCTCGGAACTCAGAGCAGCTGAAAGCTGGCTCCATCAGAGTGAGGCAGAACCGAGTTCAAGCCGACTGGAGATACCCGGAGTGTTGCAGGCTGAACAAATCGGGTTCCAGCCTCACAGCCAGAAACCAGCCTGAGCTTCAGAACAAAAGGTGAAGGCTTTGCTGGGATTATCCACTACCCCTCCACAGATCTATGGCTGGCTTGCTGGGAGTAATCAACACAGATCTGGTCTCTGTGTGTCCAATTTGCCTACCAGTGACAGCAGAGACACACCTTGAAGAGAACATTTTAAAAAATATTTTTTCTTTTGTTTTCTTTTTTGTTTGTTCTTACGTGCGAACATTGTCTCTAGGTTTTGCTGTTGTTGTTCTGCTTCTATTTTTATTCCTTCCTCCACTTTCCTTCCTGTCTTCTTCACCCGTTCCCTAAGTTTGCGTGATCTTCCTCTGTCCTCCAGCCTTGCTTCTAATCTCTTCCTCTATTTTTCTATTTTTCCCCCTAACCCCACTTAAATTCTCCCCTGAGTATAAAAGCACCACACTGAGGGCATATTTACTGTATCCAATTTTCTGGTTTGTTTTAGATTTTGTTATATAACCACAAACCTAGTTCATATGGTTAAAGGTGGCAAATCAGTAGTTACCACAGTTTCTTGTTTTCTAGGCTGTCTGATGCTATTGTTTTTGTTTTGGTACTGGGGATTGAACTTGGGACCTTGTGCTTGGAAGGCAGGTTGGCAGAACCACTGAACTAAAATCCCTGGGCCTAGGGCTAGGAATTTTAGCTCAGTGGTTTCATTGCCTGCTGCGAAGGCACAAGGACCCAAGTTTGATCCCCAGGACCAAAAAAATTTTTCTTAAATAAAATAAAATAAACTTTGAAG